ACTCACCTCATAGTTCTCCTTTTAAGTTCAAAGGGGCCTGAACGGGCAGCAAACACAGCAAAAAAGCTCATGTAGCAGATTTTGGGACATACAATACACGTTTTTGGCTTCCGCGTCTTTGCATGTTTTTCCGCAAACACGATGGAAAAACGCACATCTTACTGGCTGCATTTGGGATGCTGTTAAAGACTAGAGTGGACCTAAACCCACTTTGACTAAAAATCACTCGCATCAGAATACAGCTCTGCTCTGCATGCTGATATGAAATTATCTTCATGGTTCTCTTTGGCAAAAATGATGTAATTGTGCCCAAGCATTGCATGCTGGGAAGATTACATCAGCAGAGCATTGCTGGAAAATCTCATCTGTGATCTCAGGGAAAGGCATTTTCCTCCCCTGAGATGATGTGCATGGTCACATGTCCTAGTCACATGTGCCAGAGTTCCAGGAAGTAAAGGGAGATGGATTAATCTGCCCTTAGTTAAAATGGCCAGTGAGGGAACAATGGGGAGGAAAAGAGAAATAAGGTATGCAAAGAATACAAAGCCGCCAATTATCTAGAAGTATGTGATTGTAGACATTTGGTCATTACTAAAGATTTCAAAAAGGTGTCTTTGTTGTTATTGTGAAGATAAGGGTAAAGTTCCTCTTTAATGGCAATGCAAGTGTGTTTCTGTCAATGCCAAAAGTGCACGATTCTGTGTACGTTTGGTGCATGTTTACGGAACGCACAGGTATGGATGCGGGCTTATACTTGCATGTGTTTTTGGTTCCAAAAACAAAGTTCTGGACTTCCATTTGATGCTGGGCTCCCCAGTTCGAATCCTGGTAAGGACACTATCTGCATGGAGTTTGCATGTTCTACTTGTGCGGGTTTCCACCGGGTAGACCAGTTTCCTCCCGCTCTCCAAAGACATGTTGGAAGGTTAATTGGCTCCTCTCTATGTTGGCCATGTAGGTACAGTATGTATGTGAGATAGGGACCTTAGATTGTAAGCTCCTTGAGGGCAGGGACTGATTTGACTGATTTGGATGTTCTGTATGTAAAATTGTATGTACGTACGTATGTATGTAAAGTAAATTGTCAGCGTTGTAAAAAAAATCCTGTTGTTATAAATAAACAAATACCTGTAGCACACAAGGGGGATTTGAGAGTTGCTTAAAGTGGATGTAGACTCAGTTGACTTTACCCTTCAAACAATGTGGTACAAGTCAGCGGTGAATGACATAACACTTGTCATCCGCTCTGCAACACTATGTGACCCCCATATCAGTGGAGGTGCGAGCCATCACCAGGCATCTTCTTCGGTGTCCAGACTCTGATGACACCATCAATGTAATCAGGTGCGGCCGTGGTAAACCTATCCAACTCCTGATATGCTGCTGTGAGGCTCAAAGAACGGAGGATGCCAAGGCTTATGCACAGGCCATTTCCCACTTAACTTTATTGCTATCACACAGGAGCTAACTTGCCCCTCTGTGATGGCATTTCTCTTTGTAGAACCTGTCACCTCCAATAAAGGAGTTCTAGCACAGCACTGTGCTGGCTCTCCTGTGACAGCAGAGATGGGAAGGCTGCGAGTGCAGCTCTCCCATATCAGTGTTTACACTCTCCCCCCGCCCTCCATTCTGAACTAATGTGTTGTAGTCCCAGGTC